CAGCTGCCAACCTTTAGGTTAATAGTTTGACTTTAGGTTAATAGATTGCAAACTGAGCCACCCAGAGACCTTAGAGATACATAAATTAAACTACAATGAGATCTCACTCCATATCTATTGTTGTTGTTGTTACGTGCTGTGGAGTTGGACCCGACTCATAGCGACCCCTCCTTGGGTTTCCGAGGCAGTACCACTATGGAAGTAGATTGCCCCATCTTCCTTCCGAGGAGTGGCTGGTGGGTTTGAACCGCCAGCCTTCTGATTAGCAGTCAAGTGCCTTAGGCACTATGCTACCAGAGCTCCCCCATATGTATTTGAATAACTAAAATAATATAGTGACACCACCAAATACTGGTAAGGATATGGAAAAGCTGGATGACTCACTCGCTGCTGAGGGGAATGTAAAATAGTGCAGCTACTCTGGAAAACAGTTTGGAACTTTCTTTAAAAACTAAGCACACAAATATTATATGGCCCAGAAATTGCGTTCTTGGGCATTTACCCTAGCTAAGTGATGGCTTATGTTCATGTAAAAAAAACCCTGCATGTAAATGCTTATAGCAGCTTTATTCATAATAGCTGAAAACTGGAAACAACTCAGACGTCCTTCAGCAGGTGAATGGTTAAACTGTGGCATATCCATACCACAGAATATTGAAAACACACACATACACAAACAGTTGACGTCAAATTGATTCTAAATCATGGTGATCCATATGTGTCAAAGTAGAACTGTGCTCAACAAGGTTTTCAGTGGCTAATTTTTTGGAAGTACGTTGCTATGCTTTCCCCCCAAGGCAATGCTTGATGAACTCAAACCTCCACTCTTTAACTTAGCAACCAACCACATTAACTGTTTACATCATCCAGGAACTCCCACAGAATACTGTTGTTCTTAGTTGCCATGGAATCAATTCTGACTCATAGTGACTCTGTGTGTTTCAGGGTAGAGCTATGCATCATAGGATTTTCAAGGCTAGTGTAGTGTCTAAGGCACTTGACTGCTAACCACAAGGCTGGCAGTTCAAACCCACCAGACACTCCTCGGAAGGAAGGTTGGGCAATCTACTTCCGTAGTGATACTGCCTCAGAAACCCTATGAGTCGGGTCCGACTTGACTACACATAACAACAACAACAACAACATGACCTTTCAGAAGCAGATCTTCTGAGGCACCTCTGGTTGAGTTCAAACCAGCAACATTTCGGCTGACAGTTAAATGCTTAAATGTTTGTGTCACTCAGGAACTACTCAGACTCAGCAATAAAAAAAGGAATGAACTATTGATACCTGCAACAATCTGGATGGATTTCTAGACAATGATGCTGAGTGAGAAAAGCCAATCTTGAAAGATTCCATACTGTGTGATCCCATTTATATAATATTCTTGGAATAAAAAAAGATAGAAATGGAGAACAGCTTAGTAGTTATCAGAGGTTAAGGATAGGGGCGGGAGTGAGTGTGGCCATAAAAGGGCAACAGACAGGAATCCAGGATCCTGGGCCTGCCAGGAAAAAGAGGTGCTGTGTGGCCAAGGTTGCTAGGACGAGACACTTGGCCAGTTCAGTCCGGTGCCCAGTAGAGGCCCTTCACGGTGTCAGTGTTAATATCCAGATTGTGGTGTTGGGCTGAGTAAAAAGATACATGAAATCTCTGCTTTATTTGTTACCACTGCATATGAAGCTACAACTCTCTCAAAATAAAAGATTAATTATAATAAATAAAAACTCTCTCTCATCTTGCTAATAAATGAATAAAAAACCAGACAATCATAAGCTTCTCTATTAGATTAAAACTTCTGGCAAGCACAGACCATCTTTCTAGAATGATTAACCACTGGAGAAAACCTGGAGGGCCCAGGCCAGTGCAGTGTGATAAAAACAATTGAAAATGTTACATTAGAAAAAATAAATAGTTGAAATTAATTTTAAAATATTTTTGTTTAACTACATAAAGCCTACATATTATCAGCTCAACATGTATTCAATATAAAAGATTGTTATTGTTGTTGTTGTTATGTGCCGTCGAGTCGGCCCCGACTCATAGCGACCCCTTCTTGGGTTTCCGAGGCAGTATCACTACGGAAGTAGGATTGCCCAACCTTCCTTCCGAGGAGTGGCTGGTGGATTTGAACCGCCAGCCGTCTGGTTAGCAGGCAAGTGTCTTAGCCACTATGCTACCAGAGCTCCCATATAAAAGATTATTAATGTGATATTTTATATTCTTTCTTTCTTAGTAAGCTTGAAATCATAACTGGTACCCGAAGGTTGCCCTGTGAGCCGGTAGCACAGATCTAGAACCAGACCAACTATTGGGGTCCAAATCTTGGCCCTGCCATTTACTGACACGTGACTTGGGTCAGTTACTTAACATCTCTGTGCCTCAGTCTCCTTATCTCTAAAATAGAGATAGTAATAATACAGGCCTGACAGGCAGGTCTGAAGATTGTGTGAGTGGAATTATGAAGTGCTTACAACATGGTCCAGAGCAGGCTGTGCTAGGTCTGGAGAAGTCAAACAATGTTCTTATACACAGAAACCTCAGGTTTAAGGATGGGGCATGCCAACCATCTGGGAATTACCAAGGCAGGGCCAGATAGGCCATGCTTCTGCATAGGGGTCTCATACTGACCTAGATGGTAAAGGCAGGCAGTACCAGGCCTCTTGCCTCCACGCCCCTCTGACCTATTTGAATATCCTCTGCAGTTCTGGCCACCTGCTGGTAAGGCATGGAAAACCGCACAGGGTGTGTGGAAAGTCCAGAATTCCACTGGAGCCTCTGCTAATCAGGCCCTGGGACTCCTGAGGGTGAGATGACACAGTGCACCTGCAGAGATTCCAGGGCTTTTAAGAAAAGTGAAGTGTAGACTTTGATCTTGCTTTGCAGTTTTTAATTTGCCTTTAACTGCTGACCAGGGCTTAATGCAACCCTGGATACTCAGTTCACCAAACAAGGAGACAATCCACCAGACACCACAGACAGGGTTGATGGGGACCTTCTCTTTTAGTTCATCAGAGGGAAGTTCTTCCAGGTATCTCTGGAATCATGCATTCTCCAGCGCTGACCCAAAAGTTGCTGGAATGACCATTCTGACATAAGCCTGACCAATTAAAGCCCTCCTGTGGCCCTGGTGGCATAGTGCCTAAGGCATTTGACTGCTAACCAGAAGGTTGGTGGTTCAAACCCACCAGCCACTCCATGGAAAGAAGACTGGGCAATCTA